CCTATATTTCTTGTGTTTGGTACTTTATTCATTCATTCAGCTGTGCTCCTATTATTATGATTGCACATAACGATTAAAACTAGCTTAGGGAAAAGGGGTAAGCCATCTCTTTCCCCAAACTATTTACATGCACCTTGTTCATTGGGTACGATGGCTGTCGCTACGCATGCGAAGCTCACGCACTTCAATTGCTTCGCGTCCGCGTGCAGTCGTTACTTGGAATGCGCGCTGTGTTCTTCTCCGTGGTTTATTGGCTATGTAATGACCCGTCACAGAGTATCTCTTCATAAGTCAATACCTTCCTTTGTAGAACTTGGTTAATCTAATTTTCCTCTCTACCTCCTTCGCCCGAGGAGTTGGATCGATACTTGTGGTAGGTGGTCATACAATACCTAAAGAAAAGGCTACACGTCCTCTGGTATCTTCCTTCTAACGCCCCATTGCTGAATAGAAAGCGAAAGAGAAAAGAAGATGCGGCAAGTAGACAGACAGTCAGAGAGAGAGAGAGAGAGAGAGAGAGAGAGAGAGAGGGGGGGGGGGGGGGTCAGTGAAGAAGCTTGGTCGTAGAAGGATCATAGATAATGGATTAGGAACGGTCTTGACTAGACCTGGACTCAGTTTCCAAGAAACAAAAGAAATCGGCGAGAGATGAAAGAGTCATTCCTTGGGTATGTCCTTCGGAAACCTATAGCCGTCTACATACGTTGACAGAATAAAATAGACCGAAGGTTAGGGTTTATATAGATCTCAAGTATTGAGTAACATGTTCAATTATTTTCAAGGGAAAACGTTTTCACCGGTAGTCTCCGCCCATGATTATGATTTGATATCTAATTTGTCTTAACGTTCAGAATACAATGAGAACGGTCGTTAAACTTACGCGAGTCTGAAACGACCAAAGAATCATTTACAGCTCATCTTATAAGCAATCTCAATAATGTTAGCATACTAAGATAAATCGCTATAAAGGGGGAGGGGGTTAATATACATGCATGAAACAAAACGTTCAAACGTTCCGCGCTTTGTCGTAAAGTCGCTGATGCTTGTCTTATATCTTTCTCTTTTTTAGGGGGAGAGTTTAAAAGGTGTAGGTTTCACAAGGAACACATTCTTTTAATGATTTATGCTCGAAGTGCAACCAATATCATAAACTGGACAGATAATTATTCACTCATTTCTGCTTCATAATGTAGCCATTAGCTGGGGCGGGCACTTCAGGTGAATGCGCGACAACGTGAACAAGGCTCTGTCATATTTGCATACACAAAGTTAAATTTACCGACAATAAATTTAAATAGTTGGTTTGGAAGGGTTGCAATATACCCCTTCTCTGTCTTTGGCTACGCCAATGCCCCGTCTCTTTGATTTGAATTCTTGGCGGACTTCAAAACAAATAATATAACCAATACACATTCATAAGTCAAAGCATTAACCGTTAGTACATTGAACATTCAAAAAGCTTAATCTAATGACCTTCATGTAGATCAAGACGTGAAAAGAGAGCTTAAATATATTGTTAGACAAGGGTTAATGACATGAATGAAACCTCTCTGATCTTATCCGTCTCATTGATTAGAACATTTCATGTAAATTGACTTCAAATTTACAATTGAATTATTTGATCAGGATGAAAGTGAATAATAAACACGTTCTGATGACTCTCCTCCTTCAATTCCCTGTAGTTCTAAAATATAAATTCCTATTTATTTTTGCGATCCCCCTAGGAATAATAGGCCAATGTATTTAATTGTATTTGTTGGATTAGCCGGATCCTCCAATTCGAAGCATCTGCGATTTAATTCTCTTTTAAAAGGGATGAAAAGGTAAACAAAATAATACATTGCACTCTGATCTGATCAATAATATTGATACCTTGTTTTTTTCTTCTTTTTTTCCCTGCCAAATATTACGCAGTGAATCAAACGAGAAGGCCGACACAGATGTTTTTAAATGTGTCGTTATACAAAATATGGTCATGATCACTCTCGAACATATCCTCATTTCATTTTTGTGATTTCTTTTTCTAAACATCATTTAAAATAAATGCAGAATTCAAACAGATACTTTTGCTGAATCTTAATCATATCTAACAAAGTCTTAAAAAACACGTACGTGTCGAATTTTAAGACAATCGTAAAATATAAAATTAATTGAAATACAAATGTTTTAAAACGAAGGTCTTATGCTTTTAAGTGCTATTCTTTTTTTCACTGTCGACGTAACGAATGGCGTAACGAAATGATTCAATGAAAACAACGGAAAGATATCAATCTAATGCATAGATAAAATTAATTTAATTTAAACGACAGAATGTTTTTAAATTCTATCAAACTGGCACACGCCTAACCGGGCATGCAAAGATAATGATTGTAAAACACTGTCCATCTTCGGGGCTGTTTTCCTACAACTAGTCCTCGCCGTATGGCAGTATAAGGTGTAGATAAGATAGTCAAATCAAGGAAATTAACGTCGCCTCTGTGCAAGACATTCAATGATAACTGTATAGTCTGTCTAACTCCTATCATCTTCTAAGCTCTTGTTTGAATTAAAACATGGCTGATAATGAGCTCATTTACGGGCTAATTGTGAGAAGTGTGTTCCGATAATCCGACACGCGCCCTCTGATAAGCATGTCATTTTGGAATGTTCTTCCGTTCCGGTGAGGTCGTCAATCGGAACTCGATCTACGGCTACTGTAACTGTCCGTCGATCCGGGTATGCGCGTACTATAGGCATTGTCTGTTGACCACAAAACATAGTTGACTTTGACAAAACAAATGTATTGTACGAATAAGATATTCACTTTCATAATTATTAGCACTCTTTACACATACAATAAGTAAAAACAAACCAAAACAAAACATTACATGCACGAAAGGATTTCAAGATAGTCCAACGTTCTTGAGAAGTAGAGTGCAATCGCCTAGAAAAAATTATTGCAGAAGAGTGTTTATTTGGTTGATGAATATTCATGATAGTTGCTCTTAGACCCCTCTGAAAACCAGCGATATCAAGTTGTTATTGCTGAGCAGCTAGGGCTATCCAGCCGGATGTTTTATTTGGTATATATTTCGCTTTGTAAGTCTCATGTTGTTTTTCATACGGAAAATGAATACTACATGTACTACTACTACTTAGTTCTCCGTCTGTACACATTCATTATGACCAATGAGTCATAACCTAACCTATGTTCCTTTTCTTTATCATGATAATTTTACTCTTTATTTAATTAATGCTAATTCAAGTCAATCAATCAATTCGTTTAAAACATTTATAAGAAAATTGAAGAAATATATATTAACATCTGAAATTTTTTTAATCACTTAAAACAAAATACTGCATTGTGTATCTTGTGTCGGGCCTGTGTAGGTGTATTGTGTTTCGTGGTTTTTTTTCGTTTTTTTTTTTCGTTTTTTTTTTTTTTTTTTTTGGGGGGGGGGGGGCTGTTTAATGATATTTATTCTAAAGAATTGCAATACACTTTATACAGTAGATGCTTTATTCGGTTGGGCGTCTCGACAAAGAACCCACTTGGTTTTTTAAGGCCATCCTTATTCCCATACTACGTTTTTTTCCTTCAAATAACATGTACTGTAGTATAGTGTATATATTTTACAACATATATCTATTTATTCTGTCTACCCAATGTACTTTTAATATATTTGCTGGAGTTGAAATAAACGAACTGAATGGAATTATAACATTTGCATGAGCACGACAAGAAGAATTCGTGTTACATCCGGGTCTCGTGGCAGTTTACATACATGTATAATTATGTATATTCCAAGTATCAGTGGCTTGTGCCGTTATGGTGTATGTAGGGTCATGGTATTTCAGAGAACTCTTCTGTTTCAGTGACTTAGAATTCATATAATTATAGACCCCTTTCTTTATGTTTCTTCTTGTGCAGGCGCTCTTTTCCGATAGAACCGGAAACAGATATCTCGGAATAAGTAAAAAAATTTAAAAAAAGAGTTATAAGCATAATTATCGCAATGCATCAATATTCAATAAACACACAAACATGGCCAATGAATTTAAAATGAACTTTGAACTACCGATTCAAATTGTAGCATGATTTCACAATCGGTTTTAAAGATTCATCTTTACTCTGTATTCATGATTTTGATGTATGGTGTAAATATGATATTAGTATTCAAACTAAAATCAGGTATCATGTTTCAATTTCTTTTAAAGGTAGGCGTTACTACTGCAGCTAGAAGGGATTAGACCACACATCGAGCCAGCGAGGTCAATGTGACAGGTGGCTATCTCATTAACTCAGCTCTCATTTAACATAAGAAAAAGAGGATCATGGGGGACCAACAGGCACCGATTTGGGAAGTTTTCTATATAGAGGGAGCAAGTAGCTACAAGTAAGACAGTGTGCCTTTAATGTTGATAAAACCCGAATGTATGAAAGAATAAATGAATGATCCCATTTATATTGAATGATGTTCTTTAATTATTGCCGTCATCGAATCAAAAATATTTTTGATTAAAAATATCATCATTTCACGACTAAAAGCTTTGTGGTTTATCGATTAAAAAGATAGAAAATTCTGCTTCTTTTCAGAACGTCTTTCTTAAAGTTTCACGCTTGCTTATGGATATCAGATTCAGAAAAGTGCGTCTCTAATTGAAAGTGGTGCGAATCAGTTCTAATATTTGATAAGTGGAAATGCTTAACCCCCATTCCGGTACCACCCAAGAATCTATGTCAATCTCACCGATAACTATTGAAAACACGACTTCATGTACTCCTTATTTTAAGAAATATAAAATATATTTTCCTGTCCTTTTCGTTGGTTGCAACTGACTGTGACTGTCGAGTGGCTGATCCTATTAAACATATCTCCCAACTCCTTTGTTTACAAATTTGCGATCATTGACACCGATACAAGCTTGCTCTTTTTCGGATCAATAACCTCGGCTTTCAAGCGGGCCAAGTTTGTTCCCCTCTTAGAAACCACCAATCGACTTGTATTGGTAAGAGCGATCTGGTTCAGAGCGATGTGGGTAGAAGACAGTAGCAGATTGGTGAGGCCATTTAAAATAGATACGGATGTTCCGTGTAACATTTCTCCCATCTCTGCCTCTTTTCTCCATCCCTCGCACGATTAAGAATCGTGCTGGAATATTATCATAAAAAGGTGGAGTTTGGTTGGATTTTGTCGTCTCGCCATTGGTGCATTATCGGCACGTCTAACCAGGGCTTGCAGTCAAGCACAAAGAACAAGCACGCGCCCTGATTGGTCGGTGTTGAAAATGATAGGCAACTATCGTGAGCCGTCGTCGCCGCGCGGAGAGACCTAGCGTCTCGTTCGCTCAACTTTTCGCCCGTAATATCTGTGCATTGAGCCACGGCTACCGAGCAATAGAGAGAGAAGAGGAGAGAGAGGAATACTAAAAAAAAAAAAAAGCACATCGGGTAATATTGTATCTATCGTTGAATTCTTTTGCTATTACTGTGTCGTGACGGCACAGAGAGCGCAACTACAGAATACACGCTGTGTGATAATCTCTCGACTTTTGTGACCGTGGCTGTTACACGCTACTGTGTGATACTACTACAAATATTCGTCGAGACCAGAGTTTGCAGCGTGTCTGTCTGAAAGTGAAGATATAATCTTACAGCATCGACCCATCGAACACACACAAATACTAGTCAGCTGATAACACAACACCACATATTTGGTGTCCACTTCTGCTGTTTCAAGTCGCCTTGACGGTTTTCTGTAATTTTATCCTGCTCTGTTTTGTTGGAAGTATACTGCAACACACAGCATGTTTTTATGCTATAAAATTGCACTTTGCCGAAACAGTTCGTCGGATATGTTGTGAATTGTAAAACACTTGAGGAGAAACATGTCAAGTTGTTTTGTTTACTTTCAACGCAAGTTTGAAGGAGTTTAAATCGAGGGATTGTATTATTTACATTCTCCCGATATTCATCGAATTTTCATCAATCTGAAGAAATTTTACAGCTGTGAATTGTAAGCTGCGGTGTTTCTGATCATATCTGGAACTGAGATTTGTTGGAGTGGAGGGTAAACCCGCAAGCGAGGTCGCTTTATGAGGAGCCCGTGAGCTACCGGTAAACGCCTGCTAACCTCTCCCCGACAAGTCACGCTGTAACAAGCCATCTCCTGCTGTGCCAATGTCGCCTTATCAAGTGCATCACACATGTTCTTGCTAAACTTGGAACTGAACCTCTGATTTGGGGTCCAGCTTACATACTTGTGGACAAATTCAAGTAGACGTGAAGTGGAATATTGTGGCAGCTCTTTGCTCCACTGACACTACACCGAACCCTTATCACTCTCAGCGGCCTACAGTCGGCGACGAGCGACTCGCCACAATAGGGTAGTGATCGCAGCGGAGGCGAGCGAGAATCAGCGGCCTTCATGCTTTATCACGCCGATACCAAGCCGCTAATCCAACCTTCATATTACGCCTAAGGGGCGTGAGAAACGCAGCAAGAAATCTCCGGAAAACAACCAACCATATAACCCATTTTTACTATTTTCCATCGTCGTTTGGCGATCTCAGGCGTCATCATTCCTACTCTCGTGGGTATCCGATCCGTTGACGACGGGGCGAGGTGGTCGACGAAAATGGTCCAAGTTTGTGCGGGCTGTGAACGGCCCATCTTAGATCGTTTCTTGCTCAACGTACTGGATAGACCCTGGCATGTCAAATGTGTCCAGTGCTGTGAATGCAAGGCTAAACTCACTGAAAAATGCTTCTCAAGAGAGGGGAAACTCTTCTGCAAGAATGACTTCTTCAGGTTAGTGCATTTTTTTGTAATTTATGATCAATTTGTAACGTTGTTAAAATTCTTAGTGCGTTTCGTTAAACTAGATTATTGATTAATATAATTATTGTAAGCAAATATTAATGTCACTTTCCTTTGTTTCCATAGACCTACCTACTTTCATGTCAACTTAAACTTGTCAAGCAATAAATTTTATTAATTGGCAAGTCCTCTGGCTACTATTAATATCAATTACATTATCGTTAAACCTTTAGCTACCGTGTACAAATACTACTTCCAAAATGCAGTCATTTGAGAAATTTAAGATTATTGTTGAATTTTTTGTCAAGGATTGTTGTCACTTAATGTATTTCAACTATTGTAGTTTCTTCTTTGCTATATCCCATGTGTTATGAAGATTATATCCCGTTAACAACCAAACAAGATATGAAGTGTGTTTGGGATCTGTTTGTTGTGAGGATCAACACTTTGGTATCTGTGTAATGTTTATGAAAACACACAACACAATTTCACCGTATACCACTGGGATTAAACGTCTGCTGGGGATTGTGTAAAACGAGATAACTTATCAATATTCAACAAATAAAAGAAATTTAAGGAATACAGACAACGGAAGTGGTACAATCCAAAGACTTCCTGATGTACTGATAACACAAATTTTGTTTAAGGGGCAAAACTAAAAATTAAAAAAGGATTGGACAACTGGCGAGACAGTATTATTAATCAACTACTACCTTTAAGAGTACTCCGACGAGATTGTGTTAGAAGTTAAGAGAAAAGTCATAAGGGTGGCAGAAACTTACTTTCACTTAGGGCTTTAGGCCTATCTAAATGGTTGAACGTCAGGCAGAAATAATACATTGTATATTCATATGATGCATTTAGGAGTTGCCGTAACAAAGTGTCGTGTTGGTGTTTTTTAAGTGTCTGGAATCCTCAAGCAAGAAGTCTTACAATTGAAACTATACCTCAATGTGCAGTTTATGATTGACGATACATCCTAAAAAGGCTGTTTTAAATAACACATGACTCCCTTATATATATATATATATATATATATATATATATATATATATATATATATATATATATATTATCACTGGTTCAAACTTCTCTAAACTTATTCTGCGGTCGGTAAGCCGTGGAAGCAAGTTGTGGGTATCCGAACGCTTCAAAATGTGGTCGAAAGCCACAACTCGTCTCAAACCGCTTTCTTTTCAAAGATTCTTCTACCGTTTTTCACCGTTGACTATTCACTTTTACAAAGAATTAATTTATGAATAGATCTTTGGGACGTGATCGTGATGGTCGTTTCACTATTGTATCTTGTTCCAAAACATCACTCTGAAGTCATATAAGAAAATAAGGGGGACGGATTCCTATTCATCAGCGATTAAAAACAACCCGGAACTTAATTGTTTCAAAGGATGGAGAAAACTTTAGGAGTACACCACTGCGTCATTGGCTTTTATATAGCGATGCATATTGCTTGTGGGGTGTAAGGTATAGTTTTCTGCACAGAGATAAAGAACTTAATCTTGTATTGTAATGACATGAAGAGACGCTTCTTTTGTTTACACAGCACATCGAGACCAACAATATAGACGTACATCAAACAATTAATTATGATTTACAAGACGCAAGACTTTCTAATTCTTCAACTGGGTACTGATACATTTCTTTGGAGGCCCATATTGCAGTTTAGTCAAACAGTTAATCTACATTTTCAATTTTTATTATTTATTTACAATTTTAAGCAATATGTTTCGAGGGAATTTGGTAAAACAACTTGGGCAGATAATAAAAGTAATTTGTTTTAACTTTTCTCTTGACTTGTAAGTCATTGCTATGTACGTTTAGTCAATAAATATTAACAGAAAGTAAGAACAATTTTATGAAAAATTCTAGTAAACTTAGAAGTAAGCTTCCGTTTATTCAAGCTGTCTCATTTCATGACTCGTGGGCATTGGGGGTTCCTTGTAAGAATGTTGCCTAGAGTTATTGTCACCCGAGATTTACAACATTTTAAAAGAAAGTTTGATTTTCTTTGTGTCAGGTTTATGACAGAGTTCGTATATATTTTTATTATGATTAGTAAGAGTGTAGAATACTGCCTTTTTAAATTTGTTTAATTTTGAAATAACAAAGAAATACATGATATCTCACACGTAGGAGCGTAAAGAGGTATTGTAAACAACTACTAGCAAATAAGGAAGGACATTGAAGAACAAGATACATAATTATACTGTTAATCACAGAAATTGTGATTATAATCATAAGAATCGTGACGTTATTCACTTTTAGAGATTTGAGCTTAAAATCATAGTTGATATTTATTATGTTACACATGTAAATTGACGAAACCGTAAAGACAATATGATTTCTTATTTACACATTTTTCTGAACAATACATAAAAACTACAATGAAGCCATACCATACCTCTAAAATCTGAAGACATACAATACATGAAACTGAAGTGCATAGAGTCGTGGTTACTAAATTTAGATTGGTAATTAAATACCTGTTTAAAACACATCTCAAATGAAAGTCTACAGGCAGTCTGCGTGGCGAAATCACCAAGTGTGTAATATATTTTAATAAAGTCATTTGAAAATAAAGGTGATTATCTGACTGTGAGTGACTACATTGAGTGTAATTATGTTTGCGCAGGGACGAGTATCAAACGCTTGTTAATGCTCTTGGGGCAACAACTTTTCAATTTAAAGCATTTTATTATAGATGATCTAAACTGTAGTGTCAATTATCAATAAATACGTGCTTCCAAAGCAGAGGAGTGTTATTATGATTAAGGGGTGAGCGATAATTCAATTCCATCTTCAAACTCCGATGAAACGACGCAAATTATACAATATCCTTACAACCTGCGAGACCATACGGAACGGTATAATAGATTGAGTATTTTACCCATGGAATGAAAAGAAGCGATCAAATATAAATACATTATGAATATCAGTACATCAATCACTGCCATTGAACCTGACCATAATTCGGAGAATACATATTTTAATTCTTAAATTTAGGGGGGGGGGTGTCTCAATGTGTTTGGTTTTAGACTTAATATTAAGTGACATCATATATTTTCAGGTGCATTTTGACATTTATAATTAGTACTTTGCCATGAATAACGGGATATACATTTTGTGTCACAAATTATACAATACAATAATGATAACATGCAGTAGATATTATAATTTATCATAAATATTTTCTGGAAAAGAACAGTTTATTTCAATTAGGTGATGTAAACGGATATATAGATGTTCTTAGGAGGTATGGGCATGTAAAACAAATAGAGATATTCCGAATACTATAGACATGCGAGAGGGCTTTGTATATAGTGTGACATGTAGCTTACACATAGTAAATCATCTGAATATTAGCATAGATCACAACACAATTCAACAAACCATATCATCTTATCACGATGTTTGAAAGGGGAAATGGAATTATTTCAGTTTGACTTCTATAATTACTATGGCAGTGAGAATAGAACGTGTCTCGGTATTCGAGTATATTCACGTTCTCTTGATTGCGGGAAGGGGCGGTCATGTATAGGCCAAACAGTAAAGAGGGAATTTGTAGGGGCATGTCATTTTTTCTTCTCTGCGTTTGAGAGGAGACGTGGTGATGGATTGCTCGTCATTTGCTCATTAATTAACTTGCATGCCTTTTCTCAGCCTCCCGACCCAACAGCTGACAGATATGTATCGTCACATGTAGTCAAGTTACTTCTACAAAACTGTTCTTGTATTCGGTCTCAATGGCTTTCAAAGGAACGTGTTCATGTTTGTTTACTTTTTATTTTGTTTATAGTTGTCTGTTATGGATGTAATATTCAAAAGCTCATAATCTTCTATGTTTAATTTTATTTCTGCTCTGTCATCGACAACATTCATAAGCTTATAATGTAAAAACTAAAAAGTAACTCTGATATACCCCACCTCCTGTAATTTTAATACTAGTTTTATTACACTTTATTAATTATCGAAAATTCGGGAGAAAAGTGATGTGTGTCTTTAAAGAATTTTGCGATATATTACCAAAGGTTTTCTATTTTGATAGTGACTTAACCTCACCTATATTCTATTCACAATAATGATATGAAATTAAAGAATGCTATTTATCATAATAAAATCACAAACGTACCCGTATTTTTGTTTATTTTCCTTGAGCTTATGTGAACTCTCAACGACTAATACTCTTGTATGCATAATCAGTATTTAATTTCATATTATTAAACTCCTGCCTGGAGTATGGACATTGAATATTTTGCTTTATCAGTCTTACTCTGGCAAACATGATCCACAGCACACCTAATACCCCCCTTTTACAGGTTGAAATGGAAATTTGAAAGACATCATTTTCTAGTTTCTACCTCTCGCATTTACGGCTAGCCCTTCTCTCTTCAACCTTCTTACCAGACCTGTATCCTGTTGGCAGTGTTGAGAAACAATTCAAATACTTGTATGTCATGATCACGATCGTATATGTCTCTTGGACCTCAGTTATCCATCACATCAATTCAAAGAGTATAGGGCATCTTATAACGTATACATCCAATCCCATGTCTGCTTACAAGGCCTAAAGCCTAGGTGTACTTGTGTGCATGCTGAATGTATTTTGCGGCAAGTATATTCAACATTGCTCGGCGCGTACACGATCATCTAACGCGAGGGGCGAAGAATACAAATAAAATCGGTATTAATTACATATGGATACAAATCACGAGACAATGATTATGGTAAAATGAGATAAAATACAACTATCTCGCAACGCAACACAAGAAAGAAATCGTAAGTTGATTTATGTCACAAAATCATATTATTTAATCTACAAGTCAACGTATATTCATAGCTCCGGCTAACCGCTTTAGAATACGGGATTTTCCAAAAGGGATGAATATTGCATGAAGTAGATGCAATTATAAATCTTGTATTATCTTATAACAAATAACTGTTTTTTCTGTTTCGTAGAATGCCTAAAAGTTATT